TTTTGCGCCTCTCTCGCTCCCTTTACCTCTTTTTGCCTCGTGTGCTGTATATATATATATAATACCGAGCGTCGAGAACTCGTTCGTGTGTTTGTATGTGCACGTGCAGCGCGCGTCTGTGTCAGTCAGTCTCTCCCACGAGAGAGTCGGAGCAGCAGCAGCAGCAGTTCGCCGCTTTGCAGCGAGAGAGAGAGAGCGAACTGGCAACGAGAACGAGCAGAGCGGTCGGCTGCTAATTGCCCGTTTCCATTTCTCGCACTTTGCGAATTGAAGCGCGCGCGAGCGAGCGAGCTCGGGCCGTGCCGCAGCAACATCAGCAACACTGACGGTATGCGCGGTGGCGGCCTTGTGGCTCTTACTCTCTCACGCACGCACACAGTGCACTCGCCAAGGCACACGTATATATATCTATATAGGCACGAGAGAGGCCGAGAGGAGCTCTGTGTCGGCGACTGCCTCTATGAGATTTTTCTCGCTGCAACACAGTGTAAGCAACTACAAGCCGTGCATTATGTTCGCTCTCTCTCTCTCTCTCCATCTTGTCTCTTTTCCAGCGCGTGCACCGCCGCTCATTGCGATATGCTCTTATAACTCGAACCGCATCGTCGTTCGGCTGCAGTTGATGCTCGCGAGGCATAATATAAAACCAGCGAAAAACCAAGTCGTCCGGGCTCGCGCTTCCGTGTAACAAGTACAGCAGCTTAGCCTGTAGACTTGATGTATAATATGATCGCCTGCAAGTGCAGCTCGCTATAGCGCGATGATTTAGCATTGACGCGTTTGCGAGCGAGCGAGAGAGAAGAGTAAGAAATTTTACATCGCGAAAAAGCTGCTGCCGGCAGAGCAGATATAGCAGTATGTATTACAGCGATAGATATAGGCGGATCACGATTGCAGCGGGAGAGCAAGAGAGACGAGAGAGAGAGAGCGACGAGATCGATCGGAGCCTACCCAGAGGCAGATTTTCCTCTCCGCACACCGCTTCGTATTCGCAATGCTTTCCACCGCTGCTCCGACAGTCGATCGACTGTCAAGTTCGCTCGTGTATATAGAGCTGCTGCCGCCGCCGCCGCCGCTGCCATATATACATCGGTGGGCGCGGTGGTAATATCGCCACTGCCGCCGCCGCCGCCCCGTACATACATATTCTCGATAAAGTGCTTCGAACGGCGGCGTCGGCCGACCATTACCTACACGCAGCAGTGGCCGGCTTATATGTGCGCTGCACGAGCGTATCGCAATTCGATGGGCACGCATACATAACGCTAAATACTTATTTACCAGCCGCGCTCCGAGGCTAGCTTATACGCGCGTAATTATTCCTCCGGCAAATCGTATATACGCTGCATATATACGGGCAGTCAAATTCCAGAGTCGAGTCTGCCGCTGTTACTGCTGCTGCAGTTGGATAAGCGAGGCATGCCCACACCATAACGCGCGGCTTCATATAGATATATTCGCGTATACCTGCTACTTGGCTACTGTTATTTTGCGTGGTTAGGTAAGCGCGCGCGCGCGAGAGAGAGAGAGAGAGAGAAAAAGAAAGAAAGAGAGAAATGTACGGCTTGACGCGAGCTGGCACATTCCCCGCCGCCGCGGCCCTCACGAGAGTCGACGACTCCAGGCTGCATTTATGTGCTGCGAGTGCGTGTGCGATGCGTCGCGCATGAAGCTTCGACAGCCACTCCAGGAACTCTGCATTAGATGCGAGACCCACAATAATGACTTTCATCGCTTCGATAGAACAATTAGCTGATCGGCGACGCATTCATCAGAAATCAATTGCTGCTCCGATTCTCGACGCGAGCAGTCGGAGCGTCGTTTCTATTTTCACGGTGTCTATGCGCATGCATAATAAACGCACGTCATGAAAAAAGCTTGCAACGATCCGACTCGACTTAATGTTGCGGAGGAGCTGAGAAAATCGCGACAGCCGGGAAGAGTCGAGTGAAACGAAGAAAACGGAGCGAATACTCGCTACGGGACCTTTATAGCAGTAGCAGCCGAGGCAGAGCAAGTAGGCAGGCAGCGCAGTACTGCGGAGCACGACGTCGGCAGCGATCAATGACAAGTATCTCTCTCGCTTGCTCTTCTCTCTTTTTCGCTCGGCTCTCGAGGCGTTTCTCTCCCTTCCGCGCCTTGCTCGATCAAGATAGTCTTGCTGCTGCTGATGCTGGCTTGGCTGACTGACTTGAAACCCGAAGACCACGACGACTGCTAAGATCCAAACTGCTGCTGCTGATGCTGTCGGCTTTAGCGCCTTTGCTCCGAGAAAAGACGCAGTAGTCTGAATTCTCGCATTATACGAAATGCACGTACTCCGACACATTGCCCACGCAGACGTACGTGTACGTACGAATCTAGAGCTCGTGCAGCAGTTGAAATATGAAGAAAAATAAGTAGGGAGCTGCTGAGCAGACTGCAGAGAGAGAGAGAGAGAGAGAAAGAGCTTATATAGTTTGAACGCGGCTGCGAAACATTCTGGCGCCCAACGTGGGGCCGACTCTGCGCGCGAATGCTTTGGAAAGTGACTAATGACCGCAGACTGTGCTCTCTGTCTCTCTTACTCTAAGCTCTCTATACATTTGGATCCAAATATATATCTATAGCCATAACACGAGCGCTCTTATTCTCGTCTCTCTTTGGTGTTCGCGCGACAGCAGTGCGGAGCAGTGGCAGTAATTCCAGCGACGGCAGAGATAGGGTCAAGCGTGAAAAATGAGCAGTTGGGTACTTGTAGGCCGAGTCACTCCGCACCTACTCTCTTTCCGCGTGTTCTCGCTCATTCTCTCTTTTTCCCTCCCGCTCTATATGGTGGTACCTCGGTGCCTGTGCAATACCGCCGCTGCCGCCGCCGCCGCCGCCACTGCTGCTGCTAATAAGGACTGCTCAGCAGCGCTGTGTGTGCGCGCGTCCGTGCGAACGGGAATATAATCACTCGAGACCCTCCGCAGCAGCAAGCAAGCAGCCAGTTATTCCTCTCTTTCTCTCGCTCCTCTTCTCATCGGCAATTTTCGCAGCGACGGCGGCGGTCTCTTCTGAAGCAAACCTCTGCCTTTATTCTCGGAAATCGTGCCTGCTGCTGTGGATTACTCTCGCGAGCCTGGCCGTGACGGGCTGCTGCTGCTGCTGCTGCTGTTACTTGGGCCGGCTCTCTGTGTGAGCGTGAGTGTGTATGTGTGAGTAAATGTGTATAGGCGAACATCGCTGCAATGTGCTGCTGCTGACTTGGCCGTTTTTATCCTTCTTTCTTTGGATGCGCGCGGTGCGGAGCGATGCGGCTCGAGCTCAGCAACTTGAACTCTAAAGGATATGAAACTGTAGGCGGTTCTCTCTTTCCTCTTTTAACTCTTTCTTTCCTTTTTTTTATCATCGCATAGTCCCGAGTAGCTAACTTTTCCAACAAAGAAAATCGCCGAGCGATATCTTGAGGAGCAGCCGCGACGGCAGCAACGGTATGGAGCACCCTGGTGTATAGCCGCGAGGCGATTTTGTACGCCCTAGCCGCTTACTACCTCGTTTATTGTTATATATACATTTATCCAATATATAGCACTATGGAACGGGCTATGGTATATGTTTAAGCGAAGTTTTAGACGAAAAAAAGAAGTGGAAAGACGTGAGAAGGAAGACAGAGGAAGGAGAAGTAAGAGAGCAAGAGAGGCGACGACTAGCAACGAGTGACCGCTTAATTAGCACTTTAAAACCGCTTGGCCAAAAAAGGCGACAGTTTTCAAGAAAACTTCACTCTCTCGGCTCTTTCGGTCTCTCGGCATAGCATAGGCACACTACACGGCAGCTCACTGCGGCATGTATAATAGCGTCCCGTCCGCGAACGCGAGTAGCGCGAAGCCTTTCATATATGGATATACGCTACATATACGACACGGCTCGGTGCGGTGCCTGCATACACACACGCGCGCACGAATACATGCATAAAGGTAGCTCCCGGTGTATATACGAGCGTATATGTGCGTGCGTGTGTGTGTGTGTGTGTGTGAGAGTGAGTGCATGTGCAGTGAGTGCGAGGTCTTGCCATCGTAGCAGAGTGCACATCGTAAATCAAGGCATGAACGCGCCGCGCGCGCAACTCCGCTGCAAGTGCATTCGTTACGTGTATACGCGAGTGTGCATAGGTGTATGCGTGTGTATGTGCGCCTGCAGAGAGAGGCTCGAGTGAGCAGCAGCAGCGACAGCAGCTATATATGCGTTTACGTGTGTGCAGCTCGACTGCACGTACACACACACATCTACATAGGCACACAACTGCGCGTATTACTCGAGCTCTCGCTCGCTGGTGTATAATTAGGCGTAATGAAGCGGACACCTTATCTGTAAGAGCAAGAGAGAGAAAGAGAAGGAGAGAGAGAGAACGAACAGTACACACGGTACAGCGCACGGGTACTGTACTCGCTCGCTCAGTCGCTGTGTGTGTGCTGGCGGCGAAGCTGATTAATTCAGAGCGCGCCGTATGCAGCTCTCTGCAGCAGCAAAGCGTAGGCTCTTTGAAGCTGCTGCTGCTGCTGCGGGGCGCGCCACGGCGGCGCATAATAAAATATGCTCTGGCTGCCAAGCCCGGCTGCTCCCGCTTCTGCTGCTCCGCGTATATAATTCGCTCACTACTCTCTGCAGCTGTATCTATAGATATATATATTTAGGCTGTGTATGCGACATGTACACACACAGACACGGGCTCGTGTGTACACACACGTACAGATATATTTTGAACGTTCTAAAGCACAGGCATCGATTTTCGCGCTCGGCTCACTTGCCTTTCAGAGTTGTTGGGTGTCTCGCGACACGTTAATATCCGCCGTCGACTTTCTGCTCTATACGGGGGTATATACGTTTTGCACACACACACATCACATACGCATCAGGCTCACTCACTCGTACAACAAAATGTTCATTTGCGTGTCGACGCATGTATGCGTGTGCATCGCGTGTAATCGGTGGAAGACAAAAAAGAAAGAAAATAAAGAAGGAGGCGAGGTACTCACTTTGTTGTGGGGCGGCTGAGTCGGCACGTAAAGAGGCGGATCGAGGCCGGGACTGGTGACTGCGTGCCTGCCGACGATCCTGTCGGCCGGCTTGGCGTCGTAGCCCTCGGGCTGACCGATGTGGAAGCCCTTGCTCTTCACCCAGAAACGAAACTTGCTGTTCTCGGCGCTGTTCACCTCCTCGCCGCGCAGCGTGCGCAGTATACGCGCGTACTTCTTGATCGTGATGGTCTTTGTCTTGGCCAGATCGCCGTAGGTCTTGATCACCCACGGCTGATACGTAGCGAACATCGAGTCGTTCGGAAAGTTCTTCGGCAGACTCTCCGGTGGATTGCTCGTTGTCGTTGTCGGCGTCGTCGTCGCCGCCGCCGCTGCTGTCGTCGTGGTGGTAGCTGTCGCCGACGCAGCACTCGCCGTGGCTTGCGGACTGCTCGGTTGTTGCTTTTGTTGCTCGGACTCCTTTTTCAGAGCGCCGAACGGTGGGAAGGGCAGGCCGCTGAGCGAGCCCGTGACAGCCGCGGCGGCGGCGGCTTTGGCCACCGCGTCGGCATCGGCGGCCCAGCTCGAGTTGGCCGCGGCATTGTTGGACGGCGTCGGTCTGTTGTTGGCCTGACCGGCGGAGGAGGAGGAGGACGTGGCCAAGGCCGACGAGGAGGCAGAGGAGGAGGTCATGTTGGAGATGTCGAGATACGAGCAGGGGGACGTGCCTTTGCCGAGTCCCGCCGCCGTCGCGTTGCCCACGAAGGTAGCCATGGAGCTGTTTATGAAGTTGGCCAGAGGCGAGCTGAGAGAGGCGGCCACCGAGTCGGGTAATTGAAGGCTCTGGCCGCCGAGCGCGAGGCCGGCTATCGATGCCAGCGAGCGATCGGACCAGGGCGGCGGCGCCTTCTTGACTTGCTGCTCGAGCTGCTCCTTGGCGCGGGCGCTGCTGCGCGTGTTGCAGGCCGCCGACGAGCGGGTCTTCTTGGCCGCCGGCTCGGGCGGCGAGTTCAGATTGCCCTGGCTGGGGCTGTTGTTGTTGTCGGAGCGGGTGCGCTTGCTGCCCGCGCCACTGGAGCCGCTGCCGTTGGACGACGAGGAGGCGGACGCTGCACCGCCGACGGGCGAGCTGCCGATCTGCGTTCGACGTCTCAAGCCCATCGTGGCCGATGCCATTGTTCGCTAATCGCGCGCACTACTCGTAGTCCCTCGTCGTTCGATTCACTTTCGCGCACACTTAACGATCCCGAAGCCGACCACGAAGCCTCGAGAGTTCTCTGTCTTGTCGGGGGCTCTTTGTCGGGTATTAGGAGTCGCTTATCGAGTTCTCGCGCGCACCAACTTGCTTCTTCTTCTTTGTGCTGTTGGTGCCGCTGCAGTTACTTCAATCCCGATGTAATTGGGACGTCGTTGCTGCTGCTGCTGCTTTACGATCGATAATATTGGCGCTGGTCATTCCTTATGCGGCAAATCCTGCGAACACGTAAAAGCGTAATCGTTGAGTGACTAGGCTAAATCTGCAGCGAGCGACGGCCTCTAATGGTCGCACCGCCGTATAGCTGCCGACTTGCACGCGTCTTTTTTGCTCTGTAACTATACCACTACAGAGAGAGGAGAGAGAGAGAGAGAAAGAGAGTCGGAGCAGCGCGTCTCGCTTGGAAAGACAAGTCTAGACTCTCTCTCGTTTGCTCGCGCAAATTAACCCATCGGCGCGCGCGCCTGCCCGTTCTCTCTCTGTCTTGCTGCTTTGTACAACATATATATCGGAGCTAGCTACTTTTGCCTCGCTTCTTCTTCTTCTCTCTCTCTCCTCTCACCGTAGTATATATACAGTGCGAGCTGCATGTAAGCCAAGGAATACGTATCCGACGTACTCTATACACGTATATATTATGGTCGTGCACGCGTCGAATCGCATTAGCTCTCGGCTCATAAAACACTAACCGCCTACAACACGCTTGGCTGCTGCAACGCACGCCGCCGCGACGGTGGCGAACGTACTCGCGTATATAATATATGCGTGCGCGTATATGTGCACCTTCATCCATCCGTTCGTTCGTTTGCCCGTCCGTCCGTTCGTCCGTCCGACAAAATATACACTTATATATAATAATAAAAAAACGTCGTGGGTGCCTGTGTGTAACATGGTAGTATGTATGTATGTATGTGGCGATGAGCCTTCTGTGCGCAGTTGTGCAAAGTGCTCCGCGCGCCCGCATGCGTAATAATAAGCGTAATGTGTATACACACACATCAACCCTTTTGCATATATAGAGACGTTCGGATCATGCCCATTGGTAGTTATACGTTGGCAGTAACACTAGTAGTCGTCGTAGTGCTCGCCTCTTAATGACGTGGGTGTGTAAGCGTATACATATCGCCTCGGATATATGTATGTAGGTAGGTAGGTCCTGTATATATAAACGCGCATATAACTGCGACCGGCCAAAAAAGGGGCAACGACCAAACGCGCGATCCCAATACTCCGTACCGCACTGTGCTCTCGAGGTACACGATGCCCATAAACGCATACTGTATATTATACGAGCGAGCAAAAACACGACGCGAGCGACGTACAAGGGCCAGAGCCCGTATAATAATACGTGCTTGTACACAAGTGTGCGCGTGTGTGTGTGCTTATGTGTGTGCATATGGATGCGCACGATTCAAAGAACAACCCTCGCTCGCGCGCGCAACGGCAGCGATTATAACCGCAGGGGCTCATCCCTTGTTCGCGCCGCCACCGCCGCCGTCGCCGTCGACGCTCTCTCGTTCTCTCTCTCTCTCTAGCTCCGTTCAAAGACTAATTGGACGAAGATCTTGCCATGTAATCGTGCGCATTTACAAGGGTCGAGCACGCGAGTCGATTTTTTGCTTCGTTCTGTTTTTTTTTGCAAATACGTATACGCACGGCAATCTTTTAGAAATCTGCCCGAAAGAAAACGACGAATAGCCCTGACCCCTTGTAATAAAGTTATAAATAATCGCAAAGTAGTCCGGCAAAAGAGCCGCGAGGCTCGGGCGCGCGATCGCCTCTCGGAAATTCCCAAACGGGCGGGTGTGGCGTACGGTTGAGATATAGAGCTCGAGCCTCGAGCTGGCTACTTAGCTGGACGCGTCGCTGCGCCGCGACGGGCCGAAAAGCAGCAGCTGCGTGACACCGAGAGAGAATAAGTAGGTATAAGCAGTAGCCAGCTCGAAGCGCAGCAAAAGACACAGGATGGTCGCTGCCCTGTATAAGTATGTTTCATGGAAGCTCTACCTATATAGGACGCGGTGCGGTAGCCGCGCTCTATACCATCGCCTCCGTACCCCGAGCTGCGGGTATAGCATAGCGGTGTACCTATAGATAGTGGTGGTAGTAGCAGCGGATACGTATACCGCCCCCGCGGCGGCCGTCTGGCACTTTCTCGCCCGACGACGACCCTCCACCGCTAGGCTACTACTCCTCCTCTTCGTCGCCTCACCCCCTCGGCCTCTCGCTCGGCGCGCTATAGTCGGCAGTCCTCGAGCCTCTGCTGCTGCTACTCTGGCGCATTTGATGCGCGCTTATACCTACCCACTATGGTGAACAGACGCCTCTGTGTATGTGTGTATGTACGGACACAGACACGGGAGTGCGCGCCGCGCACAGTGGGAAGAAGACTGTGAGGGCGAGCGAGCGAGTGAGAGAGAGCGAGGCAACCACCCACTAACCACCCGGTCGTTTTCGCTTTTCCAGCTCGCGCGCGCCAGACGAGATTTTCTCGCCTCCCCTACTATCTCACTCGACTTATACTACTTCTACTCCTCTCTCTCTCTCTCTTTTTCTCTCTCGCTTTTCGTCGAGCAAAGTTTCTCGCTCCGATCATCCCGAGAACGCGACGCATTCTTATACTCGCGGCTCATTTCTTCTTTCTCTCTCCGCTGCCTCTTTTATCTTTTCTTTCTCTTCATTTTTTTGCTCGACTCCTCTTTTCCTTTTTATTGCTGCTCGGCGCGCTTTGCAATGTGTGTGTACGTGTATAATCTGTCTATGTGCATGGTGCCTTCGTCTAGTTGTATAAGTGTACAGAGAGCGCGTTAAGCGACGCGCGTCACGGATAATGAGTATACGGCGAGCGCGCAGAACTCTCCCGTTTTGCCACTCGTTCACTCTCCGTTAAACAATGAGCACGATTAAATATTGCTCGCTGTTATTGTACTGTTGTTGTTGTTGTTGTTGTTGTTTTTGTCGTTGTAAGGCTTATCGCTTGTGTCATTGTTGGACGAGCGAGCGATCGTCCGTACGCGCGAGACGCGACTTTTCACAATTTCTTATCTAATTTTGCAATCGCGCGCGGCGCAGGTATATAAACGCGTAGACGGCGACGAAAAATCGGTATTTATCCAAGCGCCGAGATTGCTCAAAGCAGCAACAGCGACGAATTATAAGCGTCCCGTAAAATCGACGTCTCGAAGAATAGCGAGGAAAAAAAGCTCGGAAAATTCCACAGGCTTAAGAAAAGAACTTACGGAAATCGCTGCGACAGCTTATGCGACGATTGCGCGTGACTGACTATATCGCTCTCTCGATCGTTTTCTTTATAACTCTCGTTGACAGCTCTCCCGATGCGTAGTCGTGAGTAGTCGTTCGAGGCAAAAAAAAGCTTCGCAGGTGTCAAAAGTCATAAGCTCGTAAATATAAATGCATAGACGAGCGAGTGGCGGCACGTCGTCGTCTTTGGCGGGCGACTGCAGTCAAGTGCGCGCCGCTGCAGTGCTAAGTAGGTACATGCACTCTCACATACACCGTCACACTGTATCGTGCATATGTATATATCTATATACACACAGGCAGTCGCACACTGTAAAGGTTCAAGCTCGCGTCACGTATATAACGCAGTATATCTATATTTGCAGAAAAGCGTACGGACGTACAGGGTCGTCTCTCGCGTGCGCTCGATCGAAGCGGGCGGATCGGCGTGCGACGGGACACTGGCGCGGGTGGCTCTGCTTTGCTGCTTCTGTTGGCAGTCGCTCTCTCTCTCTCTCTCTCTCTCGCCGCCGCTGCCGCGCGCCACTTCTACCGCTGCTGCTGCTGCTGCTTCACGGTAGTGCGAAGCCTGTTTGAGTGTGCAGTGTGCTGCTGCGCGAATGTATGTGCGGCGGGGCTGGCCGTGTGTGCGTGTGTCGGTGCGCGCCGCCTCGCTTGGCTGTGTGTAGTCGCGCGCGGGACGGGACGACTCTCACTCTGTGCTCTGCACTGAACACACCGGCCCGGGACCCTCGACGCGCCGATCGTGGCCGCTCCCCCAACACACATATATACAGCCGTCGTCGTCGTCGTCGTCGTCGTCGTCGTCGTCGGCGGCGGCTGCTGCTGCTCCCTCGTATCGCGTCGGCCGTGTGTTTCACGCTCTCTCTCTCTCTCTCTCTTTCTCTTTCGTTCTCTCTCTGTCTCTCTTATTCGCAGTGGGGGAGTCTCAAGCGCACGTGCGCGCCGCAAAAGCCGCACACACTGCTGTTGCTGCTGCCGTGAGCAGCTAGAGCGCAGCAGACTGAGCGCAAAAGCAGCAGTGAGCGAGAGAGAAAGAGAAAGAGAGTCGCGTGTCTGACGCTCGCTCGTTCGCAGCACAGCTCGCACACAGGCTCTGCACAGTGTTGTGTGTCTGCCTGCGCTGTGTTCGTGCATGTATGTGTGCGCGCGCTCGTCGACTCGGAACCGTAATATATGTATATATTGTTGTATAGCTTGCGTTTCGCTCGCTATTATATATACAATACTGCACTGGCACGTACACACACCAGCATATGCATCATGGGCCGTATATAGTTGCTTGTGCGAGCCGCCTGCCACTGACGCGCTCCGATATTATTATACATGCACTCCGTTTTCTCTCTCTCTCTATCTATCTCTCGCTCTTTGGTCCGTCGTCTTATATGCACGTGCAGAAAAAGAGTATCCGACAGAGTATAGACGCGCCCGGAGGCGTTAACAGATCGCGCGCACCAAAGAAGAATCGCCCGATCTCGATGCAGATGGTCTTTGTACGTGGCGAGCTATATAGTACGTGAAATCTGCATCGTGCACTGCTCGCATGCATTTCTAGTCTCGCGCGCGCAGCCACGCAACTATTTTCGGAGTCGTATGTGCCGAGCGAGCGGGCCTACTTAAGCCGGTTTATATCGGCTGGCGTGTAGCATATGTATTATAT